CCCCCCCTTTCAATTTATCTTTCACAGCTTTTCTGAGAACTGTAATGTAGGAACATTGAAAAAAAGCAGAATCAAATTATATCTCCTTTAAGGATGTGCAACGCTGGGGAAGAAGATAGTAGATTACCCAGGCAGCTGTGGCAGGAAACATTAGGCCTGTTAAAAGCATAGTGCCCTTTTAACATTTTCAGAAAACAGAAATTTCTTTTTCAGTGTAAAAATTACTGTTCTAAGTGAGACTAAAGTTATACCCCAAGTTCTATAAGTAGCATGGACGGAATTTGTACTCTCCTACACATCATACAAATGATGGATATATGGCAGTTGCCATGCTAAGGAAGTAAAAGAATTTATCTAGACTGTGATCCTATAAGTTGTACAGAATATGAAGTCAGAAAGACTCATTATGGGGAGAAAAATACTAACATACTCTTTCTTTATAATGTCACTATATATTCTTTAAATCTCAGCCTGCATGACAACAAACAAAACAGCCTCAACCACAGCCTGGAATGGGTTTTTTCTGTTCATTATTAGTAATGGTAAACACCCTCCACCCAAAACTTTTTTTGCAGAGGAAAGAATGTTTTATTAAACTGCATTTTCAGTTATGGTCTAGTTGATTTGTTGCACTGAGGAAACTAGGTGCAATAAGTTAAAAATATTTTGTGATCTTAGTTCCCTGTGGTCTTCATTTTGTAGAAAGATCTATGCCACATACACTATGCTAGACACATTTGTCAGTCTTCTTTCAAGACCCAAGTTAAACTACAAAACGTACTTGAGTTTTCCTTCTCATCATTTAAAAAAACCCCAAACCTGTAAAAGACATTTTTATCCTGAAGTGACTTTGCAAAATTAGCTTTCTGAACTAAAATAAATTTCTGGTTCACCTATGTTCAGTTACAAATATGTATATACGGGGGAGAGGGGGATGGAGGGAATAAGAATCTCTCTCTCTGATCTGCCTGCCCTACAATTTAAGCATAATCTCAGAGCCAAACAGGGTTATTTCCTCAAGCAAAATAACTAAATAAGCATTATACCGATCAAAAAATGCCCCCAGTGAAATCTGTACACACATTCATGGTCTTCAGGGGGCTTTCATAGTTATAGTGTATTGTGTTACTGTTTCATAAAATGGAACAGAATTAGTTTCATCTTAGTTATTCTATACTTACAGGGCTAACAAGAATATAAAGCAGTAAAAACCTTATTTATCTGCAGATATGACTCTGAACACACAAAGGGATTGGTTGTCCTGTTGAAGATGTGTCTATTAATAATGGCACCCTTTTTAAAGTGAAAATTCACACGATGCCTAGATGAAAGGATGCTAGATGCCCCACTACAGAAAGCCCCAAGACAGATAGATAGATAGATAGGACGAGGTCCAGTGGCAAATCTTACCTGAAACATTTTTCTGTAAGTTAAAAGGGAATCATCAACCCAGTCAGTATATCACTTGACTCATAACTACTGCTCCATCCTATAGTTTGGGTTATTATTGATGTGGCAGGGCACTATGTGTG